GTACAGCTGCTTTGCTCTCTGTGCTAATAATCTTCCAGTTCTCTCCTCTTGTTCATAATATTTATATTTGATTCTGAATAAAGCGTATTCAACTTTTTTCTGTAATATGGAATTATATTCTGCTTTTATCTTATTTAGTTATTTAGTTCAAGATGAGTGGTGTAGTCAACTTGGGTAGAATGTCTAATGTCTATTTTCCAGATTTTTTTTTTTTTTTTTTGACTCCAGCTCATGAGAACATTGAACAGATCTCTTTTTTAAGATATGAGCAGTGTTGTAGAAGACTCATTATTCAGCCAATAATCCAGTATTTCAGGTTTGATAAATTTTAGGGAATGCTCATCCCTGAGCAGGGATGAATTAAACCTCCACCTAGTGGGTTGAAATCTTGGTAACTGGCCAAGGTGTAATGCCATCTCCACCGGCGCATGATCTGATAATAGGATAGGACCAATAGACGTTTGCTCAATAACAGAAAGTAGCGATTGTGAGATAAGAAAATAATCTATTCTTGAATAAGAAGTATGTGGATGAGAGTAAAAAGTAAATTCCCTGGCTGAAGGGTGAAAGAATCTCCATACATCTACTAGATCTAACTCCTCTTCCATTGTGTCAGTTGCCTTCCGAGCCTGTGAAGGTCGTGTAATATCCCTTGTGTAAGTTTTATCAACTCTAGGGTCCCCTACATTGTTAAGTCCTCACCTAATACTATATATGCATTTCCAAACTGTGTGATTGTGTTGCTGATGTCTACAAATAAACCAGGTAGGTCTGCTGTTGGACCATAAATGTTCAGAAAAGTGCCCCTGATACCAACGAGCTCAGCATCCATAGCTTCCCCACCCAATCCCTTTGCAATAGTAAAGAGTCTTGCTTTTCCAAATGGGTCTCCTGTAGGAATCATATCAGGGTTTTTTTGTTTTAAATATAATAGATTTTTCTTCCTTTTAATGGCTGAATTGGCACCCTCAACATTTAATGAGGCTAGTCTAACCAGTTCACCCATAACATGTTACCAATTGTATTATTACCAGATATTTTAAAGCATCTACAAAAAAAATACTTAAGAGCTCCAGCTCTGTTGGAGATTTCCCTTGTGAAAGAGCAGATCTTACATACAGCCTAACATTATAAGAATAAACATGAACCAAACATTTAGAAAAAACAATGTTGAGCCAAAAAAGAACATGTGGCTCTCCTACTCCAACTAAACTACCACAGTGCATCCTTATGAAAAGGATACCTGACCTGTCTTAGCTCCCCACCCCCACCCTAAAGCCTTTAGTTAGCATATTAATGTGCTTTTCCTATTTAAGACCAGCAGTAATTTGTCAACCACAACAGAATATTAATGTCTTCCAGAGGGGAGAAAAGAAAAAATGAATTAAAAAAATAAAAATAAAATAGTAATAAAAATAAGACAGCAGGTACAACCTCACAAATAAATAAAATCGACCTGCAGACCCTGTACCTGCATGTATATACAGACACCTCTGTGAAAAATAGTATGCTGTAATGTGAAAACACACCCGTGAGCACATGCAACCTTAAACAAAAGTAACAAATATCTCTCTCAGGTAACAGTAAAATAGAATGGGAATAAAACAGTGTGGATATGCTGCATTATAATAAACTACATGTAGGTTAATATCCGAACATACCTATATGGCCATCAGTAATTCAATTTGAGCACTCAGTCTGGAAACTCAGTCCTGCGCTGTGAGAAAGTCAGCTGCTGCGCCTGGCGAGGTGAAGGTGTGTGTTGTTTGTGGAGACCCTCAGAGTGGCTGGATACAGCATGGAATATGACATACCCCGCTCTTGGAGCTGTTTCTTTACGGCTCAAATCCTGAATCCATGTAAAGACCCAGTTTTTCAGTGAGTAGGGTGAGCAAGAAACCACTTAAGTCCTTTTTTATGGCATTTTCAGGTATGCTTTATCCTGAAGTTTTTTTTTTAAGTTTAGCATGGTGGAGTCTCTGCTAGCCCCTCGGCTATTGCTAACGTCCTCTAGGCCCAAAATCCTGGTTTCAGCCTCTGACATCCTTGCACCAAGTTTCTCTACCATGGTTTGAAGTGTCTACAGGCCTGTTTTCATGCTACTCACATCTGCTGCAATCCCTTGCAAGAGACTTTTGAAGCTGGCAAGTTCAGATTTGGTGTCCTAAGGTGTTGCGGATGTGCTGCCTTGTGCATCCATGTTGTCCTCCATCAGGATTTTTTTCAGTTGTCTTGATGAACGAGGTGGATTTTGCTTTTAAGGTGGATTTTGCTTTTAACAAATATGTTGCAAGACATATTTGTAAAAAGCATTTTCTGAGACTGTTTTAGCAAAGTTTAATCAAGTTTAGTGGCTACAGCATGGGGGTAGGGTAGCCTAGCTGAATGGAACAAAAGGCTATGCGGCCATGTTGGTGTCACGCATTATCGGAAGTCCAGGTTTGACCTTTTTTTTGGATATATCAATGGTATTTATTACACCTGGTTTTAGGAGGTGCTGTAACCCCTCAGCACCCATCCTTCCTTCCTCAGTTCTTTGTGCATTAATAATAATAATAATAATAATAATGATAATGATAATATAAATAGCCTTAAGATAATAAAAACAATGTCTGCATTTTTAATGCCTCCCAGTTGCCAATAGCCATGGCCCGAGGCATTATGTTTTCAGGTTGTCCGTCCATATGTCACTACATCCATCCCATCCTTGTGAACATATCTCAAGAACGCCTCAAAGAAATTTCTCCAGATTTGGCACAAATGTCCACTTGGACTCAATGATGAACTGATTAATTTTGGTGGTCAAAAGTCAAGGTCACTATGACCTTGTCCATCTAATTTTTGTGAATGCAATATTCTAAGACCACCTTAAGGGAATCTCTTAAAATTTGGTACAAATGTTCACTTGGACTCAGCAGTGAGCTAATTGGATTATGGTGGTCAAAGGTCAAGGTCAGTGTGGTCTTGCATCTGTCTTTTTCTCATGAATTCCTTAAGGGAATTTTTTTTAAATTTGACATAAACGTCCACTTTGACTTAAGAATAAACTGATTAAAATTTTGTGGTCGAAGGTGAGTGTGACCTCACAAAACATGTTTTTGGCCATAACTAAATAATTCATATGCTATTTATGACAAAACTTCACTCGAATGTCTAATAGGATAAAATAATCAAGGGATGACATTTTACATCCAAAAGGTTAAAGGTCAACTTCACTGTAACATCATCATGTTATGCATAAAACACTTTTCTGACCATTATTTAAAATCATATCTCAGGAGCAAAGGGGAAGTATTTGGTCACATACTTAATTGTTGACACTCATCTTGATTGTATAGATCCTCTGTGCTGTCGGGAGGGGGACAATGGGTGTGAAGCGTCCGTGTTTTCACAGACATTGATATAAACTGTAAGAGAAACTTGACTGCCGCGCGGAGGCATACAACCATGGGGCGGTAATTTTAGGTTAGTTCTATATTCCTTTGTAAAGTCATCAAAAATGCCTTTTAAAAAATGACTTAAACTCCCACAAACACTGAAATTGAATAGTCTCAAACTACAATAGACTTATTCGATAATTTTATACTTGTGCTACAATTTTGTGGCCTGTGCTCCAAAACTAAAACCTCTGTAGCACCAGTGCTATGTGCAAATAAAGTACAGCCCTGTAGTGATAGAATGATCAAAAGACTGCATTTATACTGAATACAGATATTACCAAACACTTTTATGCTCCTATTTTCTAGTTGAAAGAAAAGATCTAAGACTGTTTCTATGCACGCTATGCAAAATTGGATTAAAAAACACAAGTGTTCCATTTGTATTTATGTTTAGTTTTTTAGGTGAAACAGACTGAGCAGAGAGTTATATTTTCTTCACCGGGGTTGGATTTAGTTGGTCAGCTGGTTTCATTTGTTTATGTCATTCCTGATCGCCGCTCTGCTCCAGTATTTTTTGTCTCCGGGTGATGGCGTAGAAAGTATTCAAAACATACTTCACTTTTGACTCGCAAATGTTATTATGGAGACATTAAATTAAAACATGCTTGCAACCGTCGCCCTTTGCTGAGATGAATTACAAGGTAACTCAAGGTTTTGCCATGCTGTAGACTGTCCAGGTGCTGTACCGCGCTCACAGTTGAGTTACGCCTTTTTCGTTCCGTCAACATCACATTATTAACTAATATTTAGATAATTGATCATTGACATTCGATGCTAATTTGTCCATGTCCTATTGTGATGGATTTAAGAATCCATTATTTCCCTCACCCCCACTTCAAACCCTACATCAGATCTTGCTGGTTTAAAATCAAAATAGCCCCAAACAGGGCAGGGAGCAAAAGATGCCCGGATAATCTCTAAACCTCTTTTCATACTGCCAGTCAGTTTCCAGCCACCTACCAGTCAACTCCCAGCCACGAGGAGTTTCCCCCTCTTCCTGTTTCCTGACAAGGTGTGTCTGGACTCCACTATAGACAGGCCTATTCATTTAGTTACAGGATGTTGCCATGAGATGGCGATCCATTACAAACACATAAACCAGTGAAGTACAATGAAACCCTGATTTACAGTGCTGGAATATAATTGAGTACATTTACTCAAGAACTGTACATTCAATTTTGAGGTACAACTTGACTTAGGCTACTATTTCCATTTCATACTGCTTCATACTTCTGTTCCACTATACGGCTATGCTGCTGTTGCACAGAAGGTAGAATGGAGCGGGTTGTCCACTAATCAGAAGATTGGCCGTTTGATCTCCTGCTCCTCCAGACCGCATGTTGAAACTATCTTTGATAGCCATCAGTTATACATCACGGTATATACCATGAAACCGGTATATCGCTACAACCCTACCGGACAAGTGAAAAAAAACATAGTCATGTTGAAGCCTGTGCATATACCATGCTTCAGAATTGCAAACTGGTGTGTAAAGAGAACCAAGTGGAGAAAACTGATGCTGATGTAAATGTTTTGCTGTAACTGTGTCTCTGGTGGCAGGTATGGCATACGAGAGTTTGTGGTCATTACCCCAGGAACCAACTGTGAGGCCATCATCAGCGAGTCCAAATGCAATCTGCTCCTCAGCTCTATCTCCATTGCTCTGACCAACAGTGGCTGGTGAGTCACCTTCCTCACTCAAGGTAGGGTGTCTTTGGGCAGTCCAGTGTGGGGAAAGTAGCTGAACTAAGGTTGTTGTTATGTTGTGCTTACATTGACTTAAGAGGAGCAGCATCTACACATCCCAACACAGTAAGTGTCTTGGTGCTTTGTAGCATCAAAAGAGCCTGCTGGTTGAGAGAAGCTGCTGGATATGAGTGCTATCCAAGATTTAGGACACATTGAATTCTTCGTAGTAATGTCTCCTCCTTTTTATCTTGTGCACACAGCCAGGTGCCCATGTTTGTGCAGATCCAGCAGAAGTGGAGGCGGGTGTACGCTGGAGAGTGCCAGGGCCCAGGGGTGCGTACTGACTTTGAGATGGTCCACCTCCGCAAGGTGCCAAGCCAGTACAACCACCTGTCTGGCCTGCTCGACATCTTCAAATCTAAGATAGTAAGTGCCATGGAATAAGACACTTTAACACATGCATGCATGCGCACACACACACACACACACACACACACACACACACACACACAAATTACTTAGTGTGTAGGATTTAGGGAGATATATCAGCAGAAATGGAATATAATAAGTATGTTTTCTTCCTAAAAATAAGAATTTTGTTTTTATTACTCATTAGAATGAGCCGGTTATATCTACATAGGGAGCAAGTCCTCATCTATTAAGATCGCCATGTTGCACCACTATGTTTCTACAATAGCCCAGAATGGACAAACCAAACGATTTTGCTTCAGCCACTGTAGTTAGCAGCCCCTCTACAACAAACGTGTTGAAAAATCACTGACTTTTTTAATGTGTAGTAGCATCAACCTGAGCCACAACTCTGTTCCCTCAAGGTGGTTAACCTGAATCCCAGCCTAGTAACCATGGTAACTTATGCTGCCAGGCAATCCTGGACTGTAGCAGGATTAAGGTGAGGATTAGCTCCATCTATGATCAAAAAATGCTCAATAGACAAGAACAGACACACAGTTCTGCCAGTGCTTTTACACACTCACAACTGTCATGTAATGATAAAATAATATGTAGATCATAAAATATATAACATAATTAATCAAAAAACATTAACTATAAAAACAAAATAAAATGTAATAAAAATAAGATAATAAAAAAAACACAACAATAAAGCCAAAATCAAACTAATAACAACAAAACTATAATAAAATGAAACTGAGGCATTAAAAAAAGATCGTATATGTATACCAAACCACATGAATATGTGATTGCCCTCCCATCCCCACCCACTCTGTTTCCAGTTGGCTAGTAAATTCACAGCCAATTAAGGTCAACTGACAACGGCCATATGAGGAGTGCATCCAAGAGAAGGAGAGGGACACACCCAAAGAGACACAGAGACAGAGCAAGAGAGAGTAAATTAGGAAATAATGGCATGCCCTTTCATCGAGGATCCTGTTGATGAGGAGGCCCACATTGTCCAGAGGGCCTTCACCAGCCTAAAGGGTCTTCCAGGACAGGACCAACTCATTGATATAGACGGACTCCTATCTGTGGGAGAGGTACCGGCTCAGCAGGCAAAGCACAGTGTATCTATGCAGTTTGCTGGAACCACACATTATAAAGGTCACACACCGCAGCCAGTCTCTGACCACTGTGCAGTCAGTCTGTATTGCACTGAGGTTCTTTGCAAGCGGTGCATTCCTGTATAGTGTTGGTGATGCTGAGAGGCTAAGTAAGGCATCTGTTTGCAGAGAGGTAAAAAGGATGTATTTTCTATTCATTCTGATTATTTCTAGCATCACCATACATCAGGCATAGGGCTTGAGGTGATCACATTAACATATGTTATCTTTTATTTTTATGAATCAACCATGACACAAAGCAACCAAATTAAAATGACACACACACCATTGTGGTTTGTCTGTTCCTCATCCTATAGCACATTCCACACATTTAAGGGGATTTCCCTTATTTTGATAAAATAAGGGATAGAGCTTACAATTGACTCCCAAATGATGAGAAATAGATAATTGATTCACTATCACCTGCATTCACTTAATAGGTTTCCTCACCTCCACTGAATTGATGGATTTGCCAAATGTCATTTTCTACAATCAATAGATAAATGTCATGTGATTATTTCCTATAAACTGATCATTTTGGAAATATCAATCTATAATCAATTATGTGATAAATGCGATGATTCACATAAAATAGTTTGATTATGTGATTATGATAAATGTGATAAATAGTATTTCACTTATATTAATTTACACATTTGGTGAATTTCATTTGGAATACTTGAATTGTTAGATTTAATAGGTGTTCTTATCTATATATATTTTGTCCCTTTTTGTCCCTCTGTCCATCATGTTATATAAATCCCTTTAATGTGGGATTTATATAACATGATGCTGAAATGCTGAATTTTCTTTGTGACTTACGCATTTAGCCTGTCGGCAATATTCTGCCACACCACCTCCCTTGCTTTATTAATTTGCAGTATTGCCTTTTTTCGTAATTATGTCCTTATAGTACTCATACATTTCCATAAAGAGCGTTTGCTCTGCCACAGAAAAAGCCTCCGCTTGCTCCTTTCTTTTGCTTTTTGACATTTTGCAACATTTTCGGCACTCGACTAGTGTGGGCTTTTTATTTTCCCTGGGCTCGTGCATGAGTTGAGGCTTAACAGGTGAGGCTTGAATTAGCGTCAGTTGGAGCCAGCTGATTTCAATTGATGGAACGGGTTGGCGCTAGATTGGGAGTTGGCGTTTAGTCAAACTTCAAGATTACACCTTAGTCTGGATATTCTTAGCTATGTTGATGGAATACCCCCCAGGTCCATTTGTTTTTGAGAGGAAGAGACCTATGTGGATTATTTTGCTGCTGATGAAAACCTCCTGAATGTCTGGATCTTACGTTTTTGGAGAAAAAATATATCCAGGTATTTTCTCCTAAGTGGGCTAAATGTTCAGTTGCAAGCTGATCCACGGCTAAAGGCCCTCTGATCTCACAGACTAATTTAGCGTAGCTTGTGCATCATATAGATTGATGTCGCAGCTCTGTGTCTTTCTGAGTGTTGATGGAGAAACTGTGAGTGAGTGAGTGAGTCGGGTGGAGCTGTGCGGAGAGATTGAGAGAGGAGAGATGCTTACTGGTATGCGTATGTGACGCAACTTATATCGATATAAACGGTATTGTCTAAATCTATATCTAGCTTCAAAATATATCGATATATTATCAATCAATCAATCAATCAATTTTATTTATAAAGCCCAATATCACAAATCACAGTTTGCCTCACAGGGCTTTACAGCATACGACATCCCTCTGTCCTTATGACCCTCGCAGCGGATAAGGAAAAACTCCCCAAAAAAAAATCGATATACCGCCCAGCCCTATTTTCACCAGTGTAGGAAAATGGGGTCATAAGATGCAGTAGAAACACACGTGCAAAAGTGACCTTTTAGGAGTCTCAACATGGTGGCAAGCTGAACGCACATATTGGCGGACGCTCCCTCTGAGCTAGCGGCTAATCCTGCAGTCAATATCCTGAATACTCATAAATAATTTAGAAAATATCTCATTTGATTCGCTACAACTCCTGTGCTCGAAATGGGAACCAGAAAGCAGAAAAAGGAGACAAACCAGCCTGCTAATTCCACCGACGTGGGCCCTCTTGCCTCTGCTCCTCCAGACATGCTAACAGTGAGCAGTGCAGCTAGCAGCACGGAAACTGATGGGGGAAACATGCTCATGAAAGCTATAACCAACATGAGAGATGAGTTCTCGGCAAACTTTGCAGGGGTCCTAACAGCCATACAAGGTATTAAACATGACTTCAGCGAGTTTTCTAACAGACTCGCAGAGGCTGAACAGCGTATTGGAGACACGGAGGACAATGTTAATGTTGCAAAAGTCAGTCGCTGCGCTCCAGAAGCAGGTAGTTTCTCTCACCACTAAGACTGAAGACCAGGAGAACCGCAGCCGGCGCAATAACCTTCGCCTCATCAACCTGCCGGAGGGAGCAGAAGGACGCAACGCCGCGGCTTTTCTGGAGAGATGGCTTCCCAAGGTACTTGGGGCTGACTCCTTCCCTTACCCGGTCTTCATCGAAGGAGCCCACCGCCTGCAGGGTCGTCAAGATCGCAACATCCCCAGGGCGCTAATAATGCACTTCCTCAACTTCAAAGATAAAGAAAGAGTGACCCGGGCAGCCAGGGCCAATGGAAGAGTGATGTTTAAAGAGCAGGAGGTGAAATTCTTCCAGGATGTTGCCAGGGAGACACACATCAAAAGGAAGCGCTTTGACGAAGTGAAGCAGCAGCTTAAAGCCCTGAACGTCCAGTATGGAATCCTACACCCAGCCCGGCTTCGGGTGACACACGTAGGTCATTCCCAGATTTTTGACAACCCAGAGGATGCTGCGGCATTGACCGACACGACGTGTCACAGACACTGGCATAGATCCTGTAGGTGAGGATAATGAATGGAACATTTGAATGTCTTTTTTCTTTATTTAATTGACTATGTAGGGGATAACACCATGACGGACATGGGGTTACCGAGGTCGAGGATAATAGCGGAAATTCTTGGTTTACTTTTTCTTCCCCTACTTAAGACTTATGGAAATAACGGGACAACAAGAGGAAGCATGGTTTTGTTAAATGCTTTCTTTTCTTTCCTTGAGTATTGTTTTTTTTCTCTTTACGCCGTTTGGTTGGAGCGGCTGATGATGGACATGTGTTTGAGTATCGTTACTCTGCTCCTCTCTGTAGGATCAGATCAGCCTTATGTTGTGTTTTCATCTGATTGGGTTCGCGGGGAATGCTGTCAAGTTCTACATGGCAGAAGGGGAGGGATTTTCTCATCTTTTATTGGTGTTCAATTTAATGTCATAGTGTTATTAGACCTTTTATTGTCCTCACTTAAATCATTTCACACGCTTTTTGACTGTGTTTTGGCGACACTCAGTGCAGTGGGCTACTCATTACAAAATATTACTGGTGATAAATAATGGATGGTGACTCAAGTATAAAGATAACTACTTGGAATGTGAGAGGCTTAGGGAAACTATCTAAATTAAAGCAGGTAATGACGAGGCTTAAACATCTTAAATCAATGGTTATATTCTTACAAGAATCTCATTTAATGTTGAGTGATATGTTAAAGGTAAGGAGACGATGGCCAGGCCAAGTTTACTCTGCTTCGTTCTCTACTAATGCTAGGGGAGTCATTACATTAATTCACAGATCTCTCCCCTTTCAAGTTGTGAAAACTTTATCAGACCCTACTGGAAGATATCTGATTTTGCAAGGTTCACTCTAATGAAAATATTACAATGGTTAACTTATACGGACCCAATGATGACTGCCCCAAATTTTTTGAAAATCTATTCCTATTATTAGCCTCACTACCAGGAAAATTACTAATTGGTGGAGATTTCAACTGCACAATCTCTCCTCACCTTGATCGCTCTACTGGCACTGACACAACTCACATACAGAGTAGGAAAACCCTGCAGTATTTTATAAAAGAGCTAAATTTATGTGACCCCTGGAGGAGACTGTTTCCTAATAACAAAGAATACTCTTGTTGTGCAAATGTATCCAAAGGCCATTCACGGATTGATTATTTATTGGTGTCCAATGATGTTTTTCCGAGAATAACAGATTGTGTTTATGACTCCATTGTAATCTCAGATCATGGTCCAGCATCTCTTATATATAGAGACCAAAAACTTGTGTGGGGTGTTCGGAGATGGCGGCTCCACCCTAAATGGCTAAATGATCCCAGCTTTCTGAAATTTGTGGGAACTCAAATAGACTACTTTTTTGACATTAATAAGGATGAGACTTCAGCCTCTGTGAGATGGGAGGCATTTAAGGCTTATATTTGTGGCCAAATAATTAGTTACACCACTTCAATAACTAATAAAACAAATTTAGAAATGCTAACTTTAGACAAGTCAATTAAACAACTTGAGAGGGAGGTAGACAAGACAAATCCTCATACACAGGAATTAGCTACCCTCAGGGCCAAATATAATGCACTTTCTGCCGCTAAGGCAGAAAATTGCTTAATAAGATTAAAACAAACATTTTATGAACAAGGGGAGAAAAGTGGAAAGCTATTAGCTTGGCAAATAAAAAAGCTAGATACAGAAAGAGCCATCAATAGTAGGGATGCACCGAATATTCATTAACCGAATATATTCGGCCGAATATTGCAAAAAAACACACATTCAGTATTCGGTGGAATAAGTTAAAAGCAAGGCCGGATAATAGCGGTGTGTTTTGATAACGCAATCAAACAGCGTGCCCTGACGGGCGGAATAAAATGTCGGCAGTGTGGTGATCTGCCCGTCACGGCACTCGCATTTGCGACTAAAAATAGTTTTGAGCGAGCAAAATAGGCTTAAATCATTCAGCACGCTGTGCGAGCAGCCTACAGATTTCAACCACCAGCAGAAACGAAAGGCGAATCCCATCGGTTGTGGGTTGAACGGGGGTCACAGACACAGACAGTAACGTTAATGTATTCCTGTCAAATACGCCGGCCATCGGCTTACCCGGCGACGGAGAAGTCGGTTCCAATAATATCCTCTTCTTGGCGTCATGACTGCCCAAAAGTACCTGAACGGCCAAGCCAGCCGAACACAGGTATGTGATGTGTCAGAGGAGAAACGAGCCTTTCACATTTCTCTCTTTCTGGCAGTAACGGCCCACAAACCTCACCGCACTTTAGGGACTGTTCATTACTTATGAAGGGACTGTCAGGGGAGGAGGGTGGCTGGTTGATTTTCATTTTATTTATTTATTTATTTTATTTTGACCCCCCCATGTTAATCACTGATTGATGCTGTTTTTGAAGTATGAATAAGTCAATAAGTAATTTATTCCATTGAAATATCATTGATGTATTATAGAAAAGTGATTCATCTTTTCATAAATGACAAAAGGCACATCTGCCTCATTTTCGCTGTGGTATCGTGATACTACTCAGAACCATGATATTTTCATTGGTATCGCACAGTCGGTCCCAATTTTGGTACTGTGACAACACTAATCTGGAGGGGGTTCATCTGCAAAAACTATTGAAAAACTAAACAATGATATTCAGTATTCGGTACTCGGTATTCGGTCAAGCGGTTAATAATATTCGGCTTCGGCCACAAATTTTCATTTCGGTGCATCCCTAATCAATAGCATCCAAACTCCAAGTGGTGATATAATTGTTGATCCTTTAGTGATAAATGATACTTTTGCTGCATACTATCAGACCCTATATGAGTCAGAACTATCAGAACTAACTCCCTTTCTCAACCAACTCCCAGTCCCCACCATATCTGAAGGCGATAAATCCTGGATGGACCGTGCACTCGAAAGTCAGGAAATTTTAGAAGCTATAAAACACATGAAAGGAGGGAAAACAGCAGGTCCTGATGGACTCCCAGTTGATATTTATAAGTTGTTTAAAAATAAATTGATAAGTCCATTGAAGGATATGTATGAAGAATCTTTTCGAAATGGTACTCTGCCCCCCTCACTGAGAAACGCACATATTACTTTGATATTAAAACCAGACAAACCTCCTTCTAAATGTGAATCCTATAGACCTATCTCTCTATTGAACTCAGATACAAAGATAATTGCTAAAGTTTTAGCTTCAAGATTAGAGAAATGCCTTCCATCTCTAATAAATATTTATCAGAATGGATTCATTAAAAACCGCCAGGCATATTATAATATTAGAAGAATATTAAATATAATTTATTAAAAAAAAGAGACACAAGATACATGTATTCTGTCACTAGACTCTGAAAAAGCGTTCGACAGAATCGAATGGCCATATCTATTTGAAGTACTCTCCCGCTTTGGTTTCAGTGTTTACTTTAGGGAATGGATCAGACTTTTGTACTTAGGACCATGCGCAGAGATTATGACCAATAACATTATTTCCAAACCATTCAATCTTCATCGTGGGACCCGTCAGGGGTGCCCCTTGTCCCCCCTGCTTTTTGTTTTAGCGCTAGAACCCTTTGCCATCTCCATTAGAAATCACCCTGTTATTAAAGGAATTCAAATTGCAGATGCAGAGCATCGCATAGCCTTCTTTGCAGATGATACATTACTTTTTCTGACGAACTTGGAGCAGTCTTTCTCAGCCCTTGCTGAGGTGATTAATAGGTTTGGGAAGTTCTCAGGATACAGAGTTAACAAAACCAAATCCTCTGTTCTCTTCCTCAATGAGCGGGAAAGACTCCATTCCACGGTCCGGCACCCGTTTATGAATGCACCTGAAGGATTCAGGTATCTTGGTATCTTTATTACTCCCACTCTAAACTCATTAATCTCTGCCAATTACAACCCAGTTATTTTAAAAGTGAAGGAATCTCTAAGCAGATGGATCTCACTCCCCTTGTTTGAGATTGGACGTATAAATGTTTTCAAGATGAATGTCCTTCCCAAATATCTTTATCTGTTTCAGTCAATCCCACCCCCGCCTCCTCCTAAATTCTTCCAAGACATGAAAAAAAACTCTTGCTAAGTTCATTTGGAAAAATAGGCGCCCAAGACTCTGACTCACACTATTATACCTCCCATTTGACAGAGGAGGCCTAAGGGTACCAAACCTATTATGGTACTATTGGGCAGCCCAGCTTAGAGCTGCCCGTCTGTGGTTCACATCACATCCAGAGTTACCTTGGGTAAAAATTAAAGCATCGTCCACAAGAGGGCTAGGATTAGATTCATATTTATATTCTGACTCTTTTAAGAACTTGAAGAAAAACACACTAAATCCATTTGTTAGAAACACCTTGATAGTATGGCATGAAGCTCGTAATGCTGTAGGTGACGTCCCACCTTTGTCTTGCCTTACACCTATCTGGGGAAACACAGAGTTCAAACCTGGTAAGAATGACTTAGGATTCAAACAATGGTCACACAAAGGGTTTAGAAGGATCATAGACCTTTATAATGGTGATACACTGATGTCCTTTAACCAAATCAAAGATAAATTCAACATTCCACAGTCTCACTTTTTTAAATACCTACAGCTGCAAAGTTTTGTACACTCTAAGTTGAATAATTTATCTAACTGTCCCCCTTTAACAGTGTTAGAACGGTTTGCAACCCAGCATCAGCGAAGCAAAGGCCAGATCTCTACACTTTACAATATATTCTCATCTCATTCTATAGAGTCATCTGACTCAAAAAGGAGGTCATGGAGTGAGGATTTACATGAATGTGTGCTGGATGGTGAGTGGAGTCAGATATGCTCAAAGGCCCAGAGCCTTTCAATTAACTCTAGACTTAAATTGATACAATATAGTTGGATAATGAGGACCTATATTACCCCAGTAAAGCTGAATAAATTTAATCCAGACATTCCAGACACTTGTGTGAAATGTCAAACTCATAAAGGCACCCTCTTCCATTGCATCTGGGAATGTGAGAAGATGCAAAAATTTTGGAAAGAAGTAATACATATATAATACATATAATTTCCAAACCTATTCCTATCTCTCCTAAATTCTGTATTTTAGGCCTCTACCCTGAAAATCTTTCCTTAAGATCACATGAAATCAAATTGATTAATCTTTGCCTTGTCTAGTCAAAACGGTCTCATTGCCATGTACTGGAAAAATATGTCATGTCCCCTTATTAGTCATTGGCTTAAAGAATTATCATCATGTCTGGCATTAGAGAAGCTGACTTATAGTCTTAAACATAGGCTTGGTGAATTTTATGAAATCTGGGGCCTTTTCTTATGTTTTCTTGGGAAAACAGATCTGCAATATACTCTTGATCTTGTAACTTCCTCCTAACACGTCCTGTGGGTACTCATAACATAGGCACTCTATGTTAATTTGAAAAATTTATTTTATTTTATTTTTTTATGCCATAAATTTATCTGCTTTTAGGTGTATCGCAATAATACTTATATGCCTTGCTCTACACTGGCTCTATAGACCTCTGGGTAGTGTCGCTTTGTTGTCTGTATACATTTTAATGGCATTGCACTATGTATTTAATTTTGTAATTCTATGTATTCTTGTTTCTTTTTATCTTCATTTACTTACTGTTTTTTTCCCTCTCTGTAAACCTTGATAGATGAGATGCTTGGTGGGTGGGTTGGGGGTGGGGTTGTTATAGTTTATATTGTATGTTTTTGTACACTTTGTATACACTTTGAATCAAAATGTCAATAAATATATGTTTGAAAAAAAAAAAGTGACCTTTTAGTTTAGCTTCTGAGGAGAGGTTCTTTGGTTCCAAAGTTTCCTGAACAGTTTCAGAAAGGGCTAAATCATCTATTGTGTTTTGTTTTCTTTCTCTCCTCAGGGTTGTACCCTGTCCCCTCTACCTCCAATCAACATTGCCATCCGTTTCACGTACATTCTCCAGGACTGGCAGCAGCATTCATGGCCACAGCAGCCTCCAGGTAGGCATACACAGAACAGAGGTGAATGTGCTTACACATTAATAACACATCTGGGAGAATCCAAGTGTGATGGGCAATGTTGATATTCTGGCAGGCAGTCACAAATAAATGAATGCATGGGAAATCCTGCTTGATATCAAAGTACAATACAAGTACAACAATACTGTGACCAGTGTTCATTTTGACAGCTATTTTAGATTTAGTCTTAGTTTTGAGGCAAAAATGCTTAGTAGTTTTAGTCACATTCTGTCATTTTTATCCTTTATAGTTTTACGCGGCAAAAAAATCATGACTTTTTAGTCAGCTTTTAGTCATAATGTTTCTATATGTTTTTTGTTTTTTTTGCACACATTTTCCACTAATGACACTTACAGTGTGTGACTGTCAGTTTATGTGCACTAGGTATCAGTAGAGCATGATGACAGACATAGGTGCTGTCTCCTCCATTAGACATTCATTGCTGTAGTTCATTCATGTGTCATGGACTGTTGGCTGCCTCCCTGAATGGGGCTTGTCAGACATAAATATTCAGTGTTTGATGACAGATTGTTGTACATTTTGTTTTGCTCTCTGGCAGACTTTGACACACTCCTTGGAGGTGAGGTGGGAGGAGTGGAGTTTGGGAAGCTTCCATTTGGAGCATGTGAGGAGCCAATCAGGTAAAAATGTTGTAACTTAGATGACAGGACATTCCAAGAACCTGCAGTACACCACCAGCAAAACTGAACTTGCTGTGTTTTCACTGGCCTTTGATTACATTTCAGGTTAGAGATGCACCGATCCAGCTTTTTCAGTTTCGATACTATCAGCCGATTCCCGATACCGATCCAATACCATGGTTGACCTAAAAAGCTATATACTTTTACATGTAGAACAGAAAAGACTAGAGTCATCAGGCATCGATGACTACATAGTTCTTTTCTAAGATAAAATGAAACAAGATATACATAGTTCGCGTCGCAATAGATTTAAAGGGAAAGGATCGCCTCAGGTATAGGTTGCATTTTCCGATACCCCATCCATCTATTTTGATGATATTGGGGCCGATATTCGATCCAGATATCAGATCGGTGCATCCCTATTTCAGGTCTCCACAGTATGTGTAACAAATATGAGAACGTGATGGCATAAAAAGAGACATGTTTGATGTGTTATGTCCTCTTGATGTCAGTAAGATCCTAGCTGGGTTTTGGCATTTTTGTTTGTGTATATTTATGTGTTTTCCTTTTGCTATGTTTACATTAAAATGAATAAATATTGGTCTAAAAAATGTAGAAGAAATTCTTACACAATGAATCTTTTGCAAAACAAAATGAACAATTGTGTCTGTTTTTGGATGTTGTAGTGAGCTTCATCTTGCAACCACTTGGACTCAGCTGACGGAAGGCATAGTTGTGGATAATGATGTCTACAGGTAAGAGTGTTCTAGATTCTCTGTCTGAATCCCACTGTTAACACCCTCTTACATAGATGAATAGGTAGATACTTATTTACCCCAGGGGGTGATATGCATGACACAGCAGCAGTGCATGAGGAATAATGTCAAAACTGATGTCAAACACAAGTACTAACAGGGTGCAAAACCTTTTTTAGGCTGCTAACTAGATTGGACAGCATCCTCTTCTCCATCACAGCCTCTACAGAGTCCAGCTCAGCTCCTCTTCCTGTCAGCAAGCCTTTTTAACCAGCATGTTGAGATTGTCAGCGTCTCTAGCCCTTTTTTTCCATCCTCAGTACACTGCCACATTATAGATAGCACTGCCCACCACTGACTGATAGAGCTTCTGTAGCATCTTGTTGCAGACGTCGAAGCCTCTGAGCTTCCACAGGAAGTACAGATGCATACACTTCAAATTTCCCAGGCCTTCCAAAGGCCTTCCAGAAGCCTGCCAATGTCAAGCCAATTTCCAGCCAAAAACCATCCCCCCCCCCCACCTTTCTCGGGGTGTGCCTAGATTCCACTGTAACACGCCCATTTATTCAATTACAAGGTGTCACCATGAGATGGCGCGTCTCTCACAGAAACAAAGATTTAGAGGTGCAACACATTAGTTATTGAGGAAAACCTAAAATTTTGTTAAAATTGGCCCAGGTCTCCCCTTTCTGAAAAATATTGAGTTAGTCTCTCAGAATAATGAGAAACGTTCTGAAAATAACTTAGTGCCTGAAAATAATTACTTAAATCATTTTTAAAAAGTTGCTCATTAAGAGACTTAAATTTTAAAATAACATTAACATTAATTAAGTGACAGAATCATTTTTCGGTTTATAATGTGAAGAATTGTAAAATGTCACTTTTATGAGGTAGTTCAGACATCAATAGTGACAATGTGTTGTTAAATGTTTGCATCAAAAGTTTGTACAGCCCACTCAGTGTGATGATCTGAGTGACTGGGAAACCTATTCACATGGCACACTCACCCATTCAGAAGGAATGAAAAGGTTCATGGCAATGCTAATTATGTGTTTGAGCTCTCTCACCTTCCAAGATAAACAGGACCACATTATGTCGCGTGCAGTGAAAGTACCACGCTCCTTTTCAGTTACACTCTGTGGGCTATGTGCAGTTTGACCTTCGTTGCGGCTGCATGTGAGGATGAAATGGCAGTTTCAGCCTGTGATCTCTCACTGACTGACTGACACCCTCATCGAAGTGACATTTTACAATTCTTCATATTTTAAACTAACGAAATTCGTTAGTTTAGTGACATTTTACAATTCTTCATGAAGATTTGTAAAATGTCACTTTTACGAAGTAGTTCAGACATCGACAGCGACGATGTGTTGTTAAATGTGTGCGTCAAAAGTTCGTAAAGCCTACTCAGTGTGAAATTTGTTAGTTTAAAATATGAAGATTTGTAAAATGTCGCTTCCATGAAGCTGTTCAGACATCAGCGGTAAGGCACACAATAAGTGCACTTATTGTTATGATTTTTGTGACATAGTTTTTTCTTCCAATTATTTCATGTAACTGATCATTTTTTTAAAATAAAAAAACACAATCAATCAATTTTATTTATAAGCCCAATATCACAAATCACAATTTGCCTCACAGGGCTTTACAGCATACGACATCCCTCTGTCCTTTGGACCCTCACAGCGGATAAGGAAAAATCTCCCCAAAAAAAACCCTTTAACGGGGAAAAAAATGGTAGAAACCTCAGGAAGAGCAACTGAGGAGGGATCCCTCTTCCAGGACAGACAGACGAGCAATAGATGTCGTACAGAACAGATCAACATAATAAATTAACAGTAATTCATATGACGCAATAAGACAGAAAGAGAGACAGAGACAGAGAGAGATGCAGGATAGACTGTAATGACAGCAGCTTACAACAACATTAATGAAAGTAATAAAATTATAATTATAATTACGGCTATTGTGGTACAATAAGTTGAAAGTATATATTAATATATGATAGTATACATATGTGCCAATAATCATGTGTATAATAACAGTAGAAATATGACTAATGATAACAGCAGCAGGAGGCATCAGGCAGGACCACGGCAGCAGCACAACCACACACGTCACACTATCCAGGCACTGCTGTGATATAAGTTAACCTGCAAGACAGAAAGACAGAGCCTGACCATTTAGAGCTTTATAAGTTAACAGTAGGATTTTAAATTCAATTCCGGATTTTACAGGGAGCCAGTGCAGAGAAGCTAAAACGGGAGAAATATGATCTCATAAACACAAGAATACTTTTGTATTTATTTTATTCAAACACAGTGTGAACCAGATGACAATGACATGCTTTTATTAAGCCAACATTTCCACTTTCCACTCTGTCCTTCTCTGTTAGTCTCCCAAAAGACCTCTATGGCTCAGACAAGCTCCTCCTTTGTGCCTGGTTTTGCATTCTTGTGGATGAAGTCTTTCATCATGTGCCAAACAAGCTTGATGGGATTCAGATCCGGTGACTCTGGCGGAGTTTTCACCCATTCCCATCGACGCAATAGTAGCAGCAGAAGTGGTATGCTTAGGATCATTGTCGTGGAAGAAGCGATGATCCGCCCCAAAATGTCCTCTGATGTATGGCGCTGCAACACCTTTGATGATACTGTTCTCAAATAGTGTCTGTCCATGATTCCCTCAATGATGACCATAGGTCCTGGTCCATGTCGTGAAATCATCCCCAGACATGGAGCTTTAAGGGATGTTTGGGTGTAGGTTTGGCAACAAAGTGATCCTTTCTTTTGAAACTAAGCCTAGTATTGCAGAGCTTCTGTTGTCTCATCCGTAAACAGCACATCATCCCACCTCTCCCCAGACTCCATCCACTGCGACGCTTGTCTTAGCCTTGCTTCTTTGTTGCAATCTTTTATCATTGGAGAGAAGCAAGTCTTTCCATACATCCAACCAAGCAATCTGCGGGCTCTGCGTATGGCAGTCAGGCTCAGGGAAACACCAAAATCAGCTTCAATTTTCTGCTTTAAATCTTGGGCGGTCAAGTCATCATTAGCCTTTGTCTCATCATCAGTGGCAGCCAGGATATTACTGTGGGAGTCAAGAGAAGAATCATTAGTAAATTATCTTTTTTTAATGTACAAACAGGAATGCATTTTATAGTTTACGCCACGGAATAGAATGTTAATCCTTTACTAATATACTCACTTGTGCAGTTTAATCAAACGTGAGTGGCCGGGCTGTCTCTCCTTGAAGTGATATCGCACTTTTCTTGGAGTAACTTTGATGCCCATGTCTGCAAAATGTTGCTGAATCACCTGTGTCGATTTTCCACTTGCTCACATTTGATGAATCTGCTGGGACCTCTCTTTGTTGATGCGCGTCATCTTTGCTGAATGTGGCTATCTTACCAGCGACGCGGTTTTGTTCTTGCTGTACTATCGCTCGATTCCCAGCCATATTTCTTTAATTTTCTTGCAATTCTCTTGAATAACAAAATGCTGAATCATAATATTTATGACCTATGATATGGTAGCCTGATAATCATTAAATATGCTCTGTGTGGGAAGCTCTCTCCCAAGATTACACTAATGAGAGGCGCAGTAAACTGCTTCAGCTTCCACACTCACTGCTCCTCCTGGTGGATAGACAGACCATTGCAACTGGTTTCTACAAATTAAACTTAGGTGCGTTACCAGTCGGCCCCGTATTCTCTATGTCATTGTGGGGGATCTCATTAGAGCTACGAGCCCAGCCAGGTGACGACAGGGACCTGTCATGGATCGGTCACGACTTTGCCACGGGCCAAACAGGATATTTGAAGTGGCTGCACCTGTAGAGTCGGTTCTGGCCCTTCTTGTAAAGAACTCCTCTGTCCCCAGCCCACTCTAGCTTGTTGTTCAGGTGTACTCTGAGGTATTTATATGATTGACCCAGCTAAGCATCCTTCTCCTGGATGATCAGAGGAGGCTTAAGCCTAGTTCACATTACACGATTTTCACCGCGATTTTGACGTTGCAGAGGATCTTGAGAGCCACCTTGGGTTGGAGGTGAGTTGGCAGATAGTCTGCCACGACGAGTCCTCATGTGTGAACAAGCCTACGAGCAAGTCCGCGACTGGGACTGGATATCTGGCATGCTAGAAAACTGGAGAAGTGTGTCACGACTGACAAAGAGAATCAGCCAATGAAAGGCGGGATATGTCCCACGTCAGCATGGTTGGAAGAAATGTGAGGAGGACAAGCCGCAGGGTTACCAGGTCTGCTTATTAGCTGCGACTTTGGGCTTGTTTTTTTGTAAAGACACTTACAAATATTGGTAGTCATGGGTTGCGTTTTTTTTGGGGCTTGTTTCTAAAGTGGAGTTGCTTATTTGGGCTTGCTTTCTAAACGTTGCCTTTCTCCATATATCCGTCGTTTCTTCTGGGCTTGTTTCCATAGTCCTGGTTGCTTGTTTCTCTCCCAAGATCTGGCAACATTGACAAGCCGGCAAGCAACAACAACAATTCAGTTCAATTCAAATAATTTATTTGTTTAAGAAGGGACAGTGTACATCAATGAACATTCCTTTTAAAGAAAAAAAAAATGTAGATGTAGATGCAAATTGCAGCCAAGAGGTGATTTACATTGGTAGTCCACTCGGCCAGATGTTTGTCAGCATAGTTCCTAAAAAAATAATGAAAAATCAATACAGTACACATAAAATATGCAATTACAATATAAAATACATTAAAACACATAACAATCTTATCGTCACAGTATATAGTCACAATGGCGGCGTCCACAGGATCACAGGGAGTGCGTTGTGTTTGGACCCAGGCCCTGGAGGCCTATCTGATTCAACACTGGGAAGAATATCCATGCCTTTACGATGTGTCGTGCGAGACTCCCGATGACAGAAACACACGTCGCCAGGTATCAACACTCAAAAGATTACGATAGTCTCTGCGACGCAAAATCAGGGTGAAAATCATGTAATGTGAACTAGCCTTTAGTCCTTCC